AAGTTAATTGGCAAGCATCTGAATTTTGATCCATGACCACAATGCTACAACAGTATTACAACAGTCATAAGAAACATGGTTATAAGTGTCCGTCCCCCCCCCCCCAGTGTCATTGTATCCTAGAACGGTTATTAAATGAACTATTGTAAGGCGAGATCTTTGGAGCTTTCTGAGTTTGGCTGTTTTCTTGCAGATTTTTCATTAGCCAAACTAGGTAACATCATCATCACAAATGTTACCTAGTTTGGATAATGAAATGTCTGCAAGAAAACAAGCAACTCAGAGAGCACCCAGGACCTCTAATTTCAACCCTGAACTACAAATATTCTTCATTATTGGAACTGTTCTAACTGTTGATGACTAGCTGTTTATGAGCACAATTCCACTCACTCAACTTTTTCCTCATAATAGAAAAATGTAGCTGCTATTTAATCTGATTGAGTGGAAATAGAGGCAGGAAAGTTGGGGGATTGTGTTATTGTAACATGTCTTCAAATGCTCCAGAAGGTTGTTCAAATGTAGTTGTAGATGTCAATCCCAATGTCAGGTGGAAAAGCAAATAAGCTTACAAACTTTTAAAATTGAAAACCAGTTTCAGGAACTGATATCTGTCTGACAAAAGAGGTATCTGATTGGGTAACAAAGATTGTCTACTTCTGATAAATGTCATCCAGAGTTATGAGAATGACACCAAATTTCCAGTTAAGCACTACTTATGTAATTGTTATTCAATCATAGCAATACCCAGTCATGATATCTGTTTATGACTCATTCTCCTTCAGACAAATAGAGCAGCAGCCACAGGTAACCACCACTCTTGGAAGAATCCATTCTTAGCTTGGTATGATGTGGACCTCGTGATGCTACTGTAAGGCCATGAAGCACAGAAGACAAAATGCAGTGGAGGAAAGTGGAGTAGTAAAGTAAAAGATCTGGACTTGGCCTGGGAAGGAGTAGTAGAAGCAATAGAGAAGAACCATTTTCCCTGCTCCTTATTTGGCCACTGACAGTAGAAGTTTTGCAAGGGAGTTTAGAAGCGAGAAAGAGATGCAGGCAGGCTGCATAGATATGCATGACTCATGAAAGAAGATTTATGAGGTCAATGTTCCTCAAGTCAGGCACAAAAATCCCTTGCTGTGGGAAGATTTAGACCAGTGTTTCTCAACCTTGACTACTTGAAGATGTCTGGACTCCAACTCCCAGAATTCCCCAGCCAGAGAAAGTCCAGACATCTTCAAGTTGCCAAGGTTGAGAAACACTGATTTAGACATTCTGATAGCCAAAGTAGACATGGCCACTTAGGCTTGGGGCTTCATGATTCAATAGGAGGGAACAAATTCTATAGTGGACCAGTTAGAGAACTTCAAGTTATTAGAGATCATCTTTCTGGCTCTTCCTGTGTGGGGCATAAGAGGTTTTCTTCCATTTTCAATGGAAAAATAATTTCTTGCTATATTTTTGGATGTAGCTTCAGCTTCTTTCCAATAGCTGCCATTGGCTGAGGCACTGATGTGAGGATATACACTCAACGAAGTGTAAGAGTTTATCATGGAATTGACCAAAGGTGTGAATGAACCTGTGGAAGATTATAGGGTTACAAATGATTAAATATCCTTCGTTTCAATTTTTTTTGCATCAATATTTATGCTTTCAACTTTTCCTGCTCTTATCATTTCTATTCATCTAGAAGAGAGCTGGGGTATTTTAGGAATTAACAAGTGGGATTGGCATTGGGAATTATTTGTCTCAAATCCACCTTCAAGTGTGGAAGCTCACTGACTCTCACTCCAGGTTAGGCAAGAATAATTTTTGTGAAGACAAATGGGAAGAAGGAACACTAAGAACATTGTCCCCAGCTTCTAAAGATGGAATATAAATGGATACTAGATATTTTGATAGATTGCTTGCGGTTTTAAGGATGAAATATTACGTCATCTTCGAGCTGTTGCTAACCACTCCCCCCCATCCCCATGTTCTTTTTGCTTAATTTTTCATTGGGGCTGATTACAAATAACTTAATGGGGTTTGAGCTACATAAATCCAAAACTAGGAGACATAGATCACCTTCACTTTAGTGTGGTCAACTATGTGACAATACTTCATTATTTTGGAACACATAATTATCCATAATGAAGGTTTAGTTTTGCTATACCAGATCTGCAAAAATCCAAATCATTAAGAGTTTTTTGTACAGTATGCTGTGTTCTGATGCCAACCCAGATCTGGTGAGCCTTACACAAAACGTGGCATGAGTTATTGAGGAGTTATTGAACATTTGAAGCTTATTCCGACGCCGGAAAGCCCGTTTCACTTTAAAGAAGGGCGTGCGCCACGGGTTAAAAAGTGGGCAGGTTGATTGTTTTGAGCCCGCCTTTCCTTTTAGCAATGGAACTATAATAGGTTAAAAGAGTTGCTGTCAGCTTTCCTCCCCCCGAATTCGAGATCATTTGAGGCTGGTGAGTGAAGTCGATTAGATTGGTGCAACGGAATTATAGAAATGAGACTCTTGTAAACTAGCGCAGCCAACCGTCATAGGAGAACAACCGGCATGGAATAGCACCCGGGAAGGAAAGGAAGGGTAGGCTCTGCTTGGACTGCAGATGCTGATTGGATCCGCTCCGGTTGCGCTGCCTTTCCCAGATCTGTGAAAGGCGGAACTATTCCGAAGCGCAGAATCGCCTTCGCGCGCCTAGGAAAAATCTGGTACAAGATATGCGTAATTACTGTGTCTAATTTGGAAAAGGAGCGCCGCTGCGGTTTTCCCAGGTCCCCCAATTTGACTGGAAAGGCCTTACCAAGTTAGCAATTACTGTCTCATAATTGGGTTTTATTATGGAACAACGACGATTCGTTTTCCTTCCTTTGCTCCTGTTTGGAACTCCCCGAGAGGGCCCCGAAAGAGGCCTGGATCAAATAGAGAAAATACATGATTCGATTTATTCAGAACAAACGTATTGGACATTAACTACGATAAGCCTATTGTTCTACTCAAATTCCATTGAGATCAGTGGGGATTTCCAAATAGATGATTGTTTGCAGCACCAGATGGATGAATGGAGTAAAAGAATGCCGGTTACAGTCTAAAGGGGAACTGCCAATCTCTAAATTTAGGAGTGGCTATGCTTTAATGGCCCTTGTGACAGGAAGCAAGATTTGCAGAAGTTGTGTAAGGTTTAAAGGTCTCCTTGTATAGCTGGATTACTAAATATCAGTTTAAATTACTAACCTGCTTTTAGTAAGTAAAGAAAAATAAATATATAAAGAAGTAATTTTCCCTTCATCACCAGAAATATAAAATATAAACTTATTACTTATTTTAGAATACAATAAATGATCTCTTTTTCTTATATGCCATTTCTTATCTATAAACAAATCCTTTTTATTTTGTGGTTTACTTTGTCCATTAAAAATTATCTGAGATAACATTTATTTTAATCTCAATCAAACAGAACAACTTTTTATTCCTTCCTTTTACTTATAACAATCTTGATCTTTCAAATTATTTATTATATTTTTAACTTCCCTTTGTTACTTTATAGGTAACTCAGTATAGTGTACATATCTAATATTCCTTGCTCCTTTTATTTTCCACAACATTGGTGAGCTCTTCTTGCTTATACATAAATGGGCTGCAACAGATGTTTCAGACTTCATAAGACAAAGACAGAATATAATAGAATTCCAGGTTTGCATCACTTCTTCAGAATTGTAAAGTAAAATATATAGAAACATTGGCACTGCCCACTTTTAATGACAAAAGTTAAAAGTGATCTACACTGTCTAATTGCTTGATTAGAATTGCTGTGTAGGATTGAATGGTAGGCATTGGATCCATGGAGTTTTCGTATGTTCACCGTCTTGACCTATTTGTAAAAATAATAATGGCAGAAAAATTAATTAATTTCTCATCTCACTTCTGCAGTTCAGTGTATTTTCCGGTACATCCTCCCACATGCACATCATATCAAAAAGGGCCTACTTGTTAAAATCTTGAAAGGGCATAGAAATAGCTGCTGAGCCTAATAGATGGTTCCAGAAAAATACATATTTGGGATCCCATTTATAGCTGCTCATTGGTCCCAATTAAAAAAAAATCACAGTAGCTTGCTATCATTGCCTGTTTTACCAAAGCCAGTGATGAATTATTTTAATACACCATCATCTCTGCTTTGTATCTCTCATTCTTTGATTGGATTTGATGCTTCCCTTGGATACCACGTGAAATAAATGATCATCTAACCATAATATTTGGCAAGTTAATATAGCTTAAATTGTCTATAACTGTTACGGCGAACCTATAGCATGCATGCCAGAGGTGGCATGCAACATCCTCTGATGGCTCATGAGCTGTCGCCCCAGTTCAGCTCCACTGCGCATACATGGGATCCTCCCACCGACCATCTGGTCTTCGTGTCTCTACTTCGTGTCTCTACTATGCATGTGGGGCAAGGCACATGCAGGAGGGCTGCGAATGCATGTGCAGGGTGGGGCTCATGCAGGGAGCACACAAGCATGCATGGGGATGAAGCATGTGCAGGAGGCCATGTGCATGTGCAGGGGCCTGTGCATGTGTGCAGGGGGTGGGCGCATGTGTGAGGACCATATGCATTGCATTTTGGGGGTTTGGGTGTGTACACGAATGCACACGTGCACATACTTTGGGCAGCCGGTCCGGAAAAGGTTAGCCATCACTGGTCTATAATATTTCAAAACGCTAAGGGAATTTGAAATACATGACTCTTTCTTTGAAACTAATACTTCTACTTCTTTAACAATTAATCCAGTGGTGCAGTTGTATACAGATGTAGGCAAGGAAGATTTTGTTTACCAAGTATTTGTTTTTCCGTTCCTGGAATGTTTTAGAAATTTTGGATTACAAATTCAACTCTTCCCAATCATTCATCTTCAACACATACCAATAGCATGTAATATAGTTCAATTCACTTGAGGTGCTAATTAGTCTACCTTAAATTCTTTCTATATACAAACTGTTGGATTTGAATCAGAATCCCCCTGATAATTTATTAACTTTGCTATTGTGCTAAGAATTTTTTGTCTGGACTCTGGCAGTATGTATATAATATACATTGGTTTTCAAGTAGTGTGATATATGTCTGCAGTTAATATGAATAAACCACATCTGACCAATGACAGCAAGTTAGTTTATATAATAGGCTAAGTCAAACAAACCACATTACAATTCAGTGCAGTACTGTATATGAATCCATTTTGTAAGTATTATATCGAATAATCAAGAATGTACTACATACCATATTTTTCAGAGTATAAGACGCACTGGATTATAAGACGTACCAAGGTTTTGAAGAGGCAATTTTTAAAAAAAAGTAGATAGGTAGATAGAGGGATGGAGAGGGAGAGAAAGAGAGAGAAATACAGTGGGTAGGTAGGTGGGGGGAGAGAGAGAGAGAGAGAGAGAGAGAGAGTAGGTAGGTAGATAGATGTTTCCAGGTGCATTTATCTATGTGCTGGAGGAGGAAATCAATGACAACCTGTAGCACCTGCTGGCACAGCACTTGACCAATGTAAATCTCATCAACCACACTAACTAAATAGCTTTCCGAAAGGGGGGGGGTTGTACTCTGCAAACCTCCCTCAAACGGCCCATTTTTTGTGAAAACGGGCGCATTTTTTCCAAAAGAAGGCATGAATAGCCTTGGGGGGAGGGTTTCAGAGTGCTCCTGGGGGGTTGAGTGGGTCAGAAAAGAGCAAAACATTGCCTGTTTTTCATGAAAACGGGCCTTTTTTTGTCAAAAAATTCGCATGCATAGCCTTATGGAGGCTTATAGAGTGCTGCTGCAGGTTGGGGGAACAAAAATGGCCCATTTCTCTCTCATTGCTGCCCTTTCCATCCCCAAGGAGATCTCTGAAAACCTCCATAAGGCTATGAACGGCCATTTTGGTGAAGGGGGCAGGGCTTCAGGAGGCAAAAAATGCTGTATTCAGTGCATAAGATGCACCCAGATTTTCAGCCTCTTTTTAGAGGAAAAAAAGTGCATCTTATACTCTGAAAAATACGGTATATAGTTGGCAATACAATCTACTAGAACAACTTTATATAACCTTACTATATATTATTAAAAAGTGTCACTAAGGATTTTTATTCATTTATTTGGGTTAAAATAGTTTTAAAGAAATTGGAAAAATTACTAAACAATCTTACACACTAAATTGTGTTGATTGTTTTACAGTCATATTTCATTTTTGTAACTTAATTCAATTTAAGCAATCATTTACAAGCTTACCATTTCCCAAGAATGTGTAACAAAACACAGGAAAACAGTTTTTTCATATAATCAGTGTTATTTATAAATATGCCTTTGCTTTTTCAAATCTGGTGCTTGGGTAAAAGAATCATATCTTATTGAGGCCAAAGAAGTGAGAACTCTTGTTCCTGGATTAGTTGTATGTGGCACAATATGGAACAGTCATAGATAACTTTTAATACCAACTTTTGACAATTATTATATTACATTTTCAAAAAGAACTTAGAATCTAAACCCTTTTACATAAAAGCTTAATTAAATCAAAATCACCTTAATAAAGAACCATTAAGATGATTGTAATTTAATTTTTTAGTAATACAAGTAGACATTACCCATTTGACAAATCCTCTTTTAAACTTCGTCTAAGTGAGAGGAAGTACCTTATTTTGATCTATAGTACTGGGGAATAACATGTTCAGTCCTTTTCAATAATGGAAAGCAACATTGTACACTTGGAATAGCTGTTGATTGAATTTGGCCTTCTTGGTTTCATTTGTGTTCCCTGGGTAGAATTACTTAGAAATCTAAAAGCATTTTTGTTACTGTTGATTGAAAATCCATTCCTCTCCAGTATGACTGGGGATCCAATTTTGTACTTTTCATTTCTAAATGACTTTAATAGCATGACCATATTGTTGAGAAAGAACTAAAACCAGCAATGTTTCAGTCTTTCTTTTGAGCTCATTAATGACACATCTAGTACAGGTAACCATAAATACTTTTACTAATCCTACTAATATTTTTTTAAAATTAATACTGAACTAGTTTCTGAATCCAAACAAAATCCAGAATGAGAGATCAAGCCATTAAAAGACAAATATTATTGTCACTTAATATATCGGAAAGCCTAATTATAAAAATGAGCGATTTTCATATGCCTAAGACACATCAGAAGTGGGGCCTTGTATTTCTCATCTCAGACAAAGTCCTCTTTCAATCACTAAAGAATGGTAGTTGATCAGTTGTAGGCAGGCTGGATGTCTCCTGATGTCAATATAATGAGAGATGTTCTTTAGTTAGACCTTCAGATAATATAATCACATTACAGTGAGGCTTGAGGTAAGGATGAATTAAGCATATTAACTATGTATAGTCAATCTCTGGGAATTCTTTTCATTTAAAATTTAATAGCATTCATTCATTTTATATGGACCTTAACTAAAAAGGCTTGTATAGCAGTATGCAAAGCCTTAAGGGCATAGTATGAACGATCTGCGTAAGAAAAACTGCGAGGAGGAAAACAGTGTCTGTTGGAATTAGGCAGTACTGAAACTGAATCAAATAAATAATTCCTAAAGTTACTATTTTTACCCATCTGCCAGTTATAGTGAAAGAAGTTAAGATGGTACAATGGAGTGCTGATGGTTGGTGTCATGGAGTTGTGTTCTCTGTGGTTGAATGGAGGACTATCAAGTGACAAAACTTGTGCTGTGATGCTCACTTCAATGTTTACATGCTTGTGTTGACATTGCAATACAAATATGAAAGTGTGGAGCTTGTATCATCATGATGCAGATTTTGTAATTTTGACTAAGTGATGCTTTGCTATGTAAATGTCATACTAGTCTTTAATTTACAACCACAATTGAGCCCAAAATTTCTGTTGTCAAGTGAGTCATTTGTTAAGTGAATTTTGCCTCATTTTATGACCCTTCTTGCCTCAGTTGTTAAGTGAATCACTGCAGTTGATGTTAGTAATCCGGTTGTTAGTGAATGTACCTTCCCATTGACTTTGCTGGCCAGAAGGTTGCAAAAGGGTCACATGACCTTGGCTCACAGCAATGGTCATAAATATGAACCAGTTGCCAAGCATCTGAATTTTAATCACATGATCATGGGGATGTTGCAAAGTTCGTGACTGAAAAATGGTCATAAGTTACTTTTTTCCAGTTCTGTTGTAACTTTGAATGCTATAGTTGAAACCAGAGAGCGAGAGCTGAAATATAATATTTCTCTGAAGAAGAAATGCCTTTTTTAACTTTGTGGAATCACTAACAAGGCCTTGAAAATGATCCACAGAATGGGGCAGATGCTTGTATGTGTGGAGTGAGAAGAAGCTTAACCTGCTTAGGCTTCATAGTACTGCCATTTGTATTTATATTTGGTACAGAAATGGATAGAAAGAGAAATCACAGTGTTATAGTATAATATAATTGCAATAGTTCCTTGAACTATTTTTTTACTAGATAAAGTTTAATAACTTTCATTGTCACTGTACCTATAGTAGTAACTATAGTAACTATAATTCAAGTGCAAGATTATGTCATAATTATGCTTTACCTGTTACTGATAACAGATAGTCCTCACTGAATGATCACTTCTACAGCAGCCATTCAAAGTTATGATGGCACTGCTTGAGGGGGACTTATGACAACTCATAGTTGTCCCCACAATCATGTGATTGTGATTCAGGAGCATAGTAACTGGCTCACAATTATTATGTTGCAGCATCCTGTAATTGCATTGTCAATATTTGCAACATTCACTGCTGATGTCTAACAAGCAAAGTCAATGGGAAATTTGGCAGGAGGTCGCAAATGGTCATCACTTGACTATAAAATATTGTGTGATAATCATCTAACTATGGTTAACTGAGATTGCCATCATAACTCAGTACAGTATTGTAGAGTTGGGCCTTATGACCATATTGCTCAGCAACAAACTTGCCAATCCCAATTACCATTGTTAAGTGAAGACTACCTATAGGAGAAGAAAGGGAAGTAACTCTGTGGAAAATATCACATCCTGGAATATGGTTGGCATGACAGGGATCTGGATTGTTTCAACAAGACCACTGTAGCTAATTTTCATTTTTAATTACTGCTTTATTTGATTCCTTTCAAGGTAACCAAGTGAAAAGATGTGCAAGATAACGGCTTTACTGGCTTTGCTAAGCCTGATTTTCTCCTTAGAATTAAGCAGCTGCCATGTACGATGGAGTGCCATGGGAAGTATTTTTAGAAGACTAAAATATGCTTTGCCATCACAAGGAGATCCTGGACAACCACTGTTTCTAACACCTTACATTGAAAGTGGTGAAACTGAGGAAGGTAAAATTGGTTTATAAAGATGACATTTAAAAAAAAACTTAAATCATGCAGAAAAATAATATTTCCTGTGCCTCCAGCTTTTCTGCAGTGTCTGCACATAATCAATCTAAAACTGTGCAAAGGATTCTCAAGAGAATTTTTGTAAAATGCACTTTTTATTGGATTGCTCAAGCAGCTGTGACTTTTGCAAGTTCCCCCCTTTTGTGGGAGCTGTTCCCAGTTATGCCTGCATAAAAGTACATGTATAACCACTTCACATTTTTTTACTGCCACATGTTGCTTGTTTATTCTTATCCCTATTAAAATCCAGTGGTTACAACAGTAAGATTTTAGAATGTATTTTAAACTTTGCATTAGGTTTACTTGAAACTTCACATAAATTTAGTTGAACTGGAGGAATGTATCTTACGTTTATTCTCTTTCTATCATTGTTTGGATTGTGGACCACCCAGATCTATAGAGTAAAAATGCAGACAAATTTCCAGTTTTTTTTTTAAACATTTATCACAGGTCATGTTACAGTCTGGATATCTGTATGGATACAAGTTGAAGAAAACAAAAACTTTTGAATATATTGTGTTTCCAGTCGCCAAGCTATAATACTGTTTTACAGGAAATCAGAAGAACTGGAATCCTTTCTCACTTTTCATAGTGTGGGCAGTGATGCATACTATTGTTCCAACTTTTAAGTGAAATTTTCTCACCTTTAAGCTTTAAATTAAGAATGCAAAGTCAGCATTGTGTGATAAGGGTAATTATGTCTTCCCATGGAAAGAAAGATGTAAACTTTCTTACTGTAGGCATATCAATCTGAGCCAATATACTTACTGGCAAATTATCAGAAGTTCAGCTTTTTTATTCATTTCGTCTTTCTTGTAATCTCAACAAACATTTTTTGAAATCCATCATTACAGCAAGAGAAAGTATATTTATAAACAACCCAGATCCTTGTAATACTTACATGAAGCCATTATGTCTTTATGTCATTATGTTTATACCAGTTTTTCACTGTTGCTCAATTAGAATAAGTGGTACAAAATTTAAATAATAATAACAATTAAAATATTTTTTTTACTTTTTAAAATTAAATATTTCTTTCTGGATAAACATAATAGTTTGTTCAAATTGTGCACAGCTGGTAATATGGCCCCACAAGATAATTTAAAAAATGTTAAAATATAAAGGAAGTTTGTTATTTATATACATTATATATGTTTTATACGTAGCCCATGGCAATTCTTGTTGACTCAATATGGTACAGACAAGCCAAACAACCATGCATTAGGATGATTGGACTGATGAAAATGTTAAACTTTGTATGCACAAATCTTTATATTGTATATATTCAGGCTCTTGAATTCTTGTCCAATCCTTCATTTAAACAATGATAATGATTTAACCATTCTTTCAAAGGAAGGCAATTAAGCCTAGTGGAACATCTCCCAGGACCTAATGTGAAGAGTTATTCGGGCTATCTGACAGTCAACAAAACTTACAATAGCAACCTTTTCTTCTGGTTCTTTCCTGCTCAGGTAGGTACAGAATATTTTTCATCTTTTGGAAGATGAGATTAGAAAGGCAGTTCCTTTCCATAGTGTGGGTACATCTGATATTAAAGGAACCTTAAGCCCATAGAAGTGCTAAAAAGAAACCCTGCATCATCATTTATCATTTTTAGACAAATGATTCTCTTGTTATCATTTTTTAGATAAATGATTATCTCTGTATAACTGTAGTTCTATGTTGCTATGAATAGATTTATATCAGAAAGAAAGTTTTCGGCTACTATAGTCAATAACATTATGTGCTATGTATAGTATGTTAATATGTTAAATGCTGGGAAAATAAAACACCTCAATTATTTTAATGCATATACACACTGATGATCCATGTAGAATAAAATTTTAATGTAACATTGGGACAATTTAAAAGTTGACCTCAGATTTACTTTATTATTTTTTAATTAAAATAATGATGTGATTGAGCTCCCTTCCCCACTCCATGTATATTGGAAAGGTACGTTTATAAAGCATCATGAAATTGTTTCCTGATTAGATGTACAATGACGATCTGTTGTTTAATTATGGATGTTTGAGACAAAAAATGATAATGATGTAAATATTCAAATATACAAATAATAGATACTGCAAATATCTGATTACTGTGCTAACTTATAAGCCTTGATTTATAAAACCATGGTAGCTGAGGTTCACATAGATTGCTAAGTCAAAATCAAATAAGCCATCATATAGTATCATATGTGAATCCAGCCATCGAGGAATACTTGCAAAAGGGCACAAATTACTATGAATTTATGCCAATAAGGCTGAAATATTTTATCTTTCTTAAACGTTTATTAGCATGCTGCAAATTCTAAGGCTTCTTGGGTTATGTGAAAATATAGTTTGGAACAAGAATACCAGTACAAGTTAAAGTTAAAACATGAATTGCTCTGTTAATAATGTAGTTGCAATCTCAAGTGATATGATGGTGGTGGCTCTATTCTTGAGTTTATTCCATTTCCATTTATTTGATATAATGGATATAAGAGAGGAAAAAAGTATTGACAATAATAACGTTTTATTTAGAGGAGAATATGAATATTTCTGAATAGAGGTGGAGATACCATCCATACATGGGTAGACACTGTACGCTCTCTGATTGGACTGAGTTTGATTAATAATTAATTAATATTCTTTATAACCCACCCTTGTGGGTAGCTTCACCCAGCTTTCGACTCAATCCACTCTGAAAGATAGATGTGTTATCCATTTCTCTGTCTCTTACGATTGGTTTATTCTGACTAAGTTGGCTAATTGATTAATCTAAATTAATTCCGGATTCTGGACTTTGAATCTACTCTGGTGTGAGTACTGTTGATATTAATACAAAAAGAGTGGGGCCAGTTACAGGGGCCTTGGGCCCATAAGAACTCTCTCCCTGAGGCACCAACGTTGAGCCTCAAGCCCACAGATGGAGGGGTGCAATGGGCTCTGATAGTCTTCCAGCACCAGGACTGCCTTGTCGCTCAGCTGTCAGTCATGAGGTATCTCGCTGAAGCTTCCACCTGCTCTGTACACCTGAGTTTGTGGCTTTAGCCACGAGACTGCTGAGACCGAGCTTCCCTCCATAGAGCCGCTTCAGTGCCGCTCAACACTAGAAAGAGGAGTGGCGGCGGCACAGTCGGCTTTGAGAGCTGCGGTGATATTTGAAGCCTGGGGGAGCTTGTTTAGCTGGCTGATTACAGCGCGCAAGCCCGAATTGACCTTAGAACTTCCTTTTGGCTTTAACCACAGCAGCAAAACTGAATCTTCAGAGGGACCGTTTGGCTGGCAATTGACAGCACGCTGGCCCAATTTGCTCCTGCTGCCCAATCACTCTAGCGCTGCCCAGAACAACAGAAAAGGTGTGAACCACCATTTAGCAGGCCAATTAACTGGGATAATGATGCAGACACCATTTTGGGGGCGGTGTTCTTCCAGGGATTCAAGATGACAGTAGTATGGCTGGGCCATTCCCAGAGACTGATAGGGACAGCCAGGATGCAGGACCTGGTTTATTGGCCATAGTACAGGCCCCACATTCTCCAGCATTACTTTCCATCTCCCAAGGTGGCAGAATGGCCAGGCCCCACAGCAAGGGCTTCAAGGCTACAAGTAAGAGCTCTAAATCTAAAAAGGCCTCAAAATCGGCCACAAAGATGCCCAAACCCCAGGAGAAGGTTAGCCTTTCGCACCACTCCTCCTCCTCTTTCCCCAAGGCTGAACTATCCCAGCCAGGAGACTCTAGCCCCAGTTGCCGGTCTCCTTTGTACTTAGAAACAATTTCTGGCCCATTCAGCCCGATGCTGCCTATCAACATGGCCGGGCTTTGGGGACTCATCCCAGGTTCTCACAGCTCCAGAGGGTCGCGAACACAGGACAGAGTTGTTGAGGCTTCTTTTATTCCCACCGCAGCAGGCCTCCGTCCTGAGTGGCAGATGCTGGTCATGGCTCCAAATTTCCAAGACATAATTGCAGAGGCCATCAAGCCGGGCATTGGGGCCTGTATGCAGGAACAGGCTCAAGCAGCACCCTTAATGGCCCCTCAGGGTTTCCTCCAGGCACAGACCAGACCAGCCTTAGTTGGAAACAGGTCCCTGGTTCACTCCCACCACAGTCAGTCCCCTGTCTCTAAGGAAGGGGAAATCAGGCGGAATTGTCAGAAGACGAGAGTGCGGTCCCAGACAAACCTACCTGTGTGGACTTTCCCCCCTACCTTATTTAAGCCATTATGCAAGGTCAAGGCTGCATCCAAACTTGATGGGCAGTTGGAGGCTTCCATGGCTCCGACACAAGGCCCATCTGCCAGTGCTCTATTTACTGATACTGAGCATAAATTGGAGATGGAGACCATTCCTACACCTCAGCTGTTTGTCGACATGGTGCAGACACAATGTTCAGTACCTACGTCAGGCTCTGCGATCTCTTCCAATGATAGGTGGTTTATAATGAGGCGCAAGACCTTGATAAAATTCTGCAATGGCCCACCATAGATGCCCCCATTGAAGCTTTATACACGAACACGACAATGCCAGGCTCGCAGGAGGAGGTCCTCAAGCCTGAGGGCAAGAGAGCCGACCAGACCCTGCATAGAGGACACCAAGCGGTGGCTTGGGTGGTTCGGGCCTCAATTGCTGCCTCCTTTTTTTCCAGGTCCAGCTTCTTCTGGCTGCAACAGCTCCAGAATAGGCTCCCAGCCAGTGATTCCAGGGTGCACCAGGACCTGAATAAGATTGTGGCTGCGGTGCAATTCTCCTCAGACACTACCCTCAGCGCCATGAGATTTGCATCTCAGGCTATGGCTTCTTCTGTGGCTTTCTGCAGACTTCTTTGGCTACAGCAGTGGCAGACAGAACTGCGGCATAAATGGCGTTTAGATTTAAAATGGCTTAATAGATATGTTCGTAATAAAAGGTTTAAAATGCATTCTTTACAAATTATATTGGAAGGGGTGAGACAATTCAAATTTCTCACCTCAGTTGATTTAACGGAGGCATACTTGCACGTACCTATCCTCCAGGATCACTGCCAGTTTTTGCGGTTTTGTTATGGAAATTGTCATTACAATTTCCAATACAGGCCCTTGCCCTTCGGCCTTTCCTTGGCTCCCTGTGCATTTACTAAGATTTTGGCAGCACTGGTGGGCCACCTGTGAACCATACCTATCCGGATACAATGTTATCTTGGTGACATTTTAGTACAATCGGTCTCGCACGAGGGGGCCAAACAGGACCTATCTGTTACACTACAAATATTTCAGGCTCATGGATTCTCGGTAAATACAGCTAAGAGCCACTTCAACTCCACCACCAGGATTCTTCACCTGCTTGGATCGACATGGGGCGGGACAGGTATTTATCTCTGAGGAGAAGCTGGACCGCCTCTGGCAGCTGGTTTTTCAAGTGGAAAAAGAGACTAAGGTTTCATTAGCCACACTATCAAAGCTGCTAGGAAAGATAGTGTCAGACATCACAATTATACACCGGGCCCGTCTGCACACCAGGAATCTGCAATAATTCCTTCTGCGTTTCAAATGAAGTGAACCAGCACATCTCAGGCGAAGGTGAGCATATCAAAGGAGGTTCATAAGTCCTTCCAATGGTGGAGATCCCTGGCCATCACTAAGGGATGCCATTTTAAAGTGGATAACAGGGTTACTATTACCACCGATGCCATTGTCCATAGCTGTGGGGGCACATCTGGGGACACAGATAGCACAGGGCCAATGGAGTCCAGAGGAAGCAGCCCAGAGCACAAATTTGCTAGAGCTCAGAACCATATGCCTGGCCTTCTGGATATTCTCCCACTCCATCAGAGGGGATCATGTCTTAATTCTAACTGATAATATGACTGATAAGGCACATGTGAACAGGCAAGGGGGAACCAGATAGAGACAACACATGAGAAAGGGTAGTATCCTGGGCTGCTGGGCAGAGGACCACCTCTCTTCTATTTCGGCTGAACACATCTCAGGGGTGGAAAATGTTTGAGCCGATTGGCTAAGTCGGGCCACAGTTGACCAAGCAGAATGGAGACTGCACCCTTGTCTCTTCCAGGAGATCACACAGTGCTTTAGGATTCCAGTTATGGACATGTTTGCTTCCCCAGACAATTCACAGCTGCCCAGATACCTTATGAGGTTCTACATGCCGGGAGCAGAGGGAGTGATGCCCTTTGTTGTCCCTGGCCTTGAGGGCTCCTATATGCTTTTCCACTGATCCCACTGATAGCCAGAGTCATCCGCAAGGTCATCTCCATCAGGGCAGAGGTCATCCTCCTTGCCCCACACTAGCCATGTCGGCCGTGGTTTGTGCACTTATGAACATTGTCCGTGGAGAGACCCTGGGGGATCCCGTCAGACTGGTGTCCCTCAGTCAGGAATCACTGGAGCATCTGGACCCTCAACGGCTCCAGCTGACAGCGATTGAACAGGCCACTTTAAGACATGACAACTTCTCCTCCAGGGTCATAGACACGATATATGTCTCTAGAAGACCCTCCATGGACAGTATTTATAGTGCTACCTGGCAGACTTTCTGTACCTGGTGCTCAATTAAGACCATGGTTCCTACCTCCTCATCTGTCCCTCAAGTCCTGGAGTTCCTCCAGGATGGTTTGGAAAAGGGTTTGTCCCTCAATACAATCAAAAGGCAGGTGACAGTTCTGGCTACAATATTTACCTGTGGAGGGGGTCAACCCCTATCACAACACCCCACTGTACAGAGATTCTTAAAAGGGATGACCAATCTCAGGCCACCTGCAGTTTACATGTACCCCACATGGGATTTGCCAAAAGTGCTCACAGCTCTCACGAAACCACCTTTCGAGCCCCTCCTCACTATCCCGCTGCAATTCCTCACCTGGAAGGTATCCTTCCTGGTAGCCATCACCTCCGCCAGGAGGATCTCAGAACTGCATGCCCTGTCTGTTAGAGAGGACTTGTGTACCTTCCATGGGGACAAGGTGGTGCTCAAATTAGATCCCTCCTTTGTACCCAAGGTTAGTTCATGGTACCACAAGGCACAAGAGGTTGTCCTACCAAATTTCTGTCCGTCCCCAACCTGGCTTTTAGAAGAACAATGGCATAAACTCGATGTACGCCATGCTCTAAAAATCTACATAGCAATAGCAATAGCAGTTAGACTTATATACCGCTTCATAGGGCTTTCAGCCCTCTCTAAGCGGCTTACAGAGTCAGCATATTGCCCCCAACAACAATCTGGGTCCTCATTTTACCCACCTCGGAAGGATGGAAGGCTGAGTCAACCCTGAGCAGGTGATCTTTGAACAGCCGAACTGCAGAACTGCAGTCAGCTGAAGAAGCCTGTAGTCTGCATTTAACCACTGCACCACCTCGGCCTACATCCACTGGATGTCAGAATTCCGACAATTAGAGGCCCTCTTCATCTCTTTCCAGCCCACATTACTGGGGCAGAAACTATCAGTATCTATAATATGCATATGGGTCATAAAATGTATAGCTATGGCGTATGAATCTAATCAGGAGTCTGCTTATAGGGTTGTCACTGCTCATTCGACAAGGAGCGCAGCCACCATTGTTGCTTGGGCTATGCAAGCATCCCTAGAGGAGATTTGCAGGGTGTCCTCATGGGCACCGTCCTCACCCTTTATAAATAATTATAAATCAGATAAATTTGCATCAGCAGACATAGCATTTGTTCGTAGGGTTTTGCAATAGGTCCATTCTGACAGATGATTCGGACCAGTCTTACTCCCTCCATGGGGGGCAGTATAGCTTCGGTATGTCCCATGCATGGATACCATCTCCACCTCTATTGAGAAAGGGATTTCGTACTTGCCTGATACACCTCTTCTAATAAGGTGGAGATGGCCTCCAGCCTCCCCCCATCTAGCGATTGGTCCTCATCACTGCGTATGAGGGGTTACTGTTTGACGGTATATAAGCATTTATGATTGAACTTGATGTTGTAATTTACTAAAAGGTTTGCATTTCTTTGTTACTAAAGTTTTTGGTTTTTTGGATAACACGGGAGTCTGTGTGTGTTTTCTTTGCCGAAAGCTGGGTGGAGCTACCCGCAAGGGCAGGTCATAAAGGATATTAATTAATTATTAATGAGACTCAGTCCAATCAGAGAGCGGACAGTGTCAATGCATGCATGGATGCTATCTCCACCTTATTAGAAGAGGCATATCAGGTAAGTACCAAAGCCCTTTTTGAGGGCTTACTCAAAAAGAATAATGAAATAAGTACCCCCGAAATTGTTCAAGGTTTTGTTATTATTTCTTATTATTTGTATTCTTATTTGTATTATTGTATTTGTATTATTATAATAAATAATATTATTTATTATTTATTATCTTCAGATTGCAATGTATAGAAATACTGGGGGAGATATTGTTTTGGAGTTAACATGTCATTCTATTATGGTGTTTCAACCATGAGCAGATTTTATTAGTGTTTCATAATAGAGTTTCAGATAATCTAGATCTCTTCCATGTGCATTTAGGGACATAGATGTATAATTTTTTGTCTTTTTTCTCTTACTATAAAATTTGCAACTTTCTTTTTCTCTGAATATCAACAATTAAAGACTGTGCAGGTGTTTGATTTTTTAAAAATATTTATAAATCTTTCTGTCCAAAAGGTTCCTTCTGACTTTGTGCAGCTGTAAAAACATTTCCTTATCAAAACAATCAAATTAAGAATAGGGCAACTCATGTTGAAACATTTAGAGAGTAGGATACTACCTCAAACCCATCAAAGACTAGCCTAAACAAAGCAGGATTTACAGCCTACCTAAAAGTAGGCAAACACAGACCAACTGTTTCCATTGGGAATTTTATAAACGAACGATTGACACAGACAGAGCATTGTTTTGAAGTATTTCTGCGTCTGAGCATAAGCATACATAAACATTTGATAACAAGTTAGTTCATTTATTACAATTAGAGACTAGATCATTTGTTAAGAAGATAAGGCACTTTTCTTTATACTCATTCAAGGAAATAGAACCTTGGCAAAATCCTTTTTTTTTGTAACAGTTACTTTTTTAAGAGGATTTTTAAAAGGTAAGTGATTTTATCCAGCTAGTGTGGAATTATAACAACTGTAATTTAAAAGATATGCTGAGTAACCTAGCTTCATTTTAAGATATGTATCACTTAATGGCTGGGACACAGTGGCTCAGTGGCTAAGAGGCTGAGTTTGTTGATCAGAAACGTCAGCAATTCGGTGATCCAAATCCCTAGCGTCATGTAATGGAGTGAACTCCCGTTACTTGTCCCAGCTTCTGCCAAACTAGCAGTTCGAAAGCACATAAAAATACAAATAGAAAAATAGGAACTACCTTTCATGGGAAAGTAACAGTGTTCCGGGTGCCTTTGGTGTTTAGTCATGCCGGCCACATGACCACGGAGATGTCTTTGGCTCTTCGGCTTTGAAACAGAGATGCGCATCGCTCCCTAGAGTCAGGAATGACTAGCACATATGTGTGAGGGGAACCTTTACCTTTTTACTTATCACTTTATGGATAACATGAGTTCCTGGTTCTGACATCATATCTGTAGGCGACGTATATAGCCCTTAGGAAAATATTCAGGATACTAGTCTTCCCAAGAATTTTTTTTGATGTATCAAACCCCAGTGAAATATTTATATTTATATCCTCAAAATGCTAACTTTAGATTGCTGCAATGCACCAATTTTGTTATATTTAAATACAATGACAATAAGGATTATACTTATCTTCTCACAGTAGTTTTGGCAGGCTAATACAAAACAAAAAACCAAAAAAAGCACATGAACCCTGTGGACTGGGGGCCATTGAAATTACTGCTTACATCCTGGTATACTGCATTTTCTATAAGGACTTGTGAATTCAATTTACACCTCACCTAATAAAATACAGTATTTAGGAAATACTAATCTTTTATGTACAACTATTGTTATTAGATCAGTGCAAAGTAGTTTCTCTGAAGGTGGCCAGTCTGTTACGTTGTATCCTAAATTAGGCAGACTCAAATTGTTCACTGATAATCCACCACCAATTGTAATGTCTTTATCTGACTTTTTTTTTACTATTATATTGGTTTTATGACTTATTTGTAATGCTGATCTGTGATCGTAATAAAAATTCATTTATATTTATCAATAGCTGACATGATTAAATTGGACGGAAATTTATTTCTGTCTCAACATGGGGTTTGAGCAAGTTGATTAATAAGTTGATATTCAAAAATCTGGTACATATTGATGTCAGAATGGTAGCCAAATGGTAGCCCAAACCCCTCATATTGTACTGTTCTCTCTTCCTCTCCCTCCCTCTCTCTCTCTCCCTCTCCCTCTCCCTGCGCTCTCTGTCTGTCTGTCTGTCTGTCTCTTTCTCTCTCTCTCTCTCTCTCTCCCCCCCACACACACACACAACACACACATACACACACACACACCAGTGGTTTAGTACAATTATTAATATTCCCCAGCAAATCCCTTCACAAAAAAACAGAACTGTGCCAATTAATTTCATCCACAAGCAGACCAATGCTAGTCCACAGAGCAATAGCCATGAGTCTATGAGTACTTCAAAATTTCCCAATCAAAATAAACCCACCAGGCAAAATTAAATCCACAATAACAGGGTTCACAAGGCAAGAAAAGCCCAAAATTCACAAGGCACGATCCAAGTCAAGGCACAATATCATCCCAAAGCAAGGCAAGAATCTTAACAACCAGAAATACAGAGCTAGATAATGAACACATTGTTCCCAGCATCACCTCCCTGCTGTCTTAAATAGCCAGCTTCTGGTGCAGCACATTAAGAAGAGTGAGGCTTTCTCCTCACAAGTAATATGCCTGACCTTCTCTGTTGCTACCCTGTGTGTTCTTGAATCAAGTGCAGAAAGCAGTTCCTCTTCATCATCATTGAGTTGCGGTAGTTGTGTGCTTTTACCACCTGAAGGCTCTGGACAGTCCCGTTGCAGCTATTCTTCAGCCAAATCTCTCTCAAACAGCTACTTTGAGCCATTGATCATCTCCCTTCCAGAGGTGCCTGGAATTGGTTCAACCTCCTTGAAGTGACATTTAGAGAGGTATCTAGGGAAGCATCCATGGGAGTCATCATACATATTGAGTTTGACAACAACCTTATGAAAAACCAACTAGAATATAATAAAACTCTTGACAGTTTTCTTATCTGTTAAAATAAATGCATCATTTTAGTGTATCCAACAATAGTTTCAATCTTTGTTCTTATGGTTTCAGTTTCAGCCAGAAAAAGCTCCTGTCTTACTTTGGCTCCAAGGTGGACCTGGAGGAACATCTATGTTTGGCCTCTTTGTTGAACATGGACCATATGTTGTTCAGAAGAACCTCTCTTGCAAGTATTTGATTTGTTTCTAATGTAATACATGGAAGTATAAACACATATTTTTATTTCTGAATGTTCATTTTTTACAATTCATTTTCCCCCAAATTTTAATTGTAATTAAGTAAAGTGTATTTAACAACAGAATATAGTTTTCCTATTCTGAACAAGTGTAAGTAAGGAAGTGTATACTTGTTGATACAAAACTGGTACTTGTGTTTGAGATGAAATATGGTTACAACTCACTGTTACAAAACTTGGATCTGTCTGTCAATTTGATAATAATAAAAACATTGGACAGGAATCCAGAGCCCAAGTTGTATAATACAGTACTTGGAAATATTATTATTAGTTTTTATTTATTTATCTGGCGTTCAGGGGCGATGATATATCCAAAATGTATTTTGGTATGCCGAATTCACCTCAGATTTCTACAGTTTGGTTCATTGATGGTAGCTGAAATCATTTTCTGGTTTGCTTGCTTTAATAGTGACTGAACGAAAGTTTCCTTGGACCTCTAAGTTCTCCATGCTGTATATTGACAATCCAGTAAGTTAAGAATGAATAACATTTTATGTAAAATATTAAATAAATTTAATATTTTGAACATAAATTCTTTATAGTATGAATAGCAGCATGGTATTAGTAGGCAGGGGCCTCATATTATAGTATCTTTAGATTAGTGTTTCTATCAGTAGTGCTGATTTACCATCAGCTTATCAGGTATTTAGGAGCAGAGGACTTGACAAGTAAAAGGAAACAACAGCCAATGACTTAATAGCCAGCAACCAACAATCCAATCAACAACTAAACGTTTTATTACTACTACATAAAAAAGACTCACATAAGTTATGCCTGAAAAAAAGAGAAAGGTGGAAATCCAAATTTTCTAATCTGAACTCTTACATTCCTCCTCCTCCTCCTCCTCCTCCTCCTCCTCCT